CCTCCCGCCCCCCCCCCCCTGGCCCAGCCCAGCCGGTCGGCAGCCCCCCATCCCCTCCGCCCCCTGAGAAGGCTGAGCCGCCATCCCCGCCCACGGCCTCCGCCCTGGATTACCCCAGTGAGAACCTGGCCTTCATCGACGAGTCTTCGGACACGCAGAGCGAGCGCGGCTGCGCGCTGCCCCGCCCGCCCCGGGGTCGCCGTCGCCCCAACCCCTCCAGAAAGCCTGCGCGGCCCCGGGGCCCGGTGCGTCCCCGAGAAAAAGGCGTGCCGGTATAGGGGCAAGATCCTCCGCCCGGGCCTCAAACTCTCAAAGGGCTTCGTCCCTGTTCTTTCCCCCGGCATGCTCGGCTTGTTTGACCAAAGAGCCCTCTTTCGATGCGACTGAAGCCTGGGGAGGAGGCTGCAGGTTGTCTGCAGGCTGCCACCCTCCCCACCCCACCCGTCCCTGGCCCTTTCCTCACTTCCATTCATTTCCAGACCTCCAAGGCTTTCTGTCTCGATGCCCTGGCTGGGCCTGTCTCTCACCACACCTCACGACTGTGCCTCAAAGCCTGCATCAATAAATGAAAAAGTCTGCACCACTGCGGGCGTTCGCGCTCCGGGGACGCGAGTGGGTGTGGGGGTGCTTTTCTCCCGTCACTGCGGGGGCAGGGCTGGCCTCCTGTGACCCAACCCCTTCCCCAGCCCCCTGCTGATGGCTCCCACGTCGGTCAAAGTCTCAACCCTCTCAGCTATGCTCAGGCCTGCACCTCTGCCTGGAGGACACCGGGTAGGGTCCGGCATCGGAATCTGCTAAGGCGGGATATATTTCTCTGTCTTTAGCGCAGATATTGGGGTGAGGGGCGAGGAGGGACGGGGTGGGGGGGGGAGAGATCATAGCATCGAATGTGGAGGGCCGTAGTTTGAACGCTCCCGCGAGATCCTCGGTCGCAGTTCGTTGGGAAAGCGACCCTACCCCTCCACTCCTGGAACGTGACCCCCTCCTCCTCGTCCCGAGGGCTGTGCGACTCGGTCCGTTGGAGGCAGAGCTATGGAGGAAGAGACGGTCAAAGTAAGAACTCTTCCCAGGGCCCCTCAACCTATCAGCCTCCAGGCTCCTCCTCGTTCTGACCCGGGTCCCTGGAGTAAGTTTTCGCCCAGCCTTGGCGCCCTAGCAGTTTCCACCAATCCCACGCTAGGGTCTCACCCCGCCTAGCTCAGAATAGCCGCCCCCAGCTTGCTCCTTCCAGCCCCAGCTCCCCGCGGCCTTTGGCTCCCCTCGTTGTATGTGGTCCACAGGTGTTGCCCACATCTTCGAGCCACCGTGGCTCACGCAAGATGAGCCAGTCCAGCGACATTCGGAATCTATGGACCACAGCCACGCTGTCGCAGCCACAACTGAACATCGAGCTGTCCCAAGTCTGCGAGAACTTCGACGAGGAGGGCAGAGAGATAGGCAAGACTCGTGGGTGGTACACCCAGAAGAGCAGCTGGGAAGGTGAAGAGGACAAGACTAATCTGAATCCAGAGGAGCTGAACGAGCACACCTTGTTGGAACTGGAACTGCACCGCGGCGGCTCCAGTGGCACCGTGCGAAGCCATTTTGAGGAGGAGAGAGTCGAATCCAAGAACGAGGCTGGTCAGTGCGGCCTGCCAGGCTGTGGGCACCTGCAGGGTAGAGGGATAGCCAGGGCCTCCCTTTCCATTGTTGTAAAATGGGGGAAGCTGCTGGGACCCAAGTTTCTAGGATTCCCAGCTAGGGGCGCCTGCGTCAAACTTTCTCGCTTTAAGTGAACCATTCTTGGAGCGCCCCCTACCGGAAGGGATCCTACCAGAGCTTTGGGCTGTGGCCAAGATTGTGAAGAGAGAGATGCAGGAAACTGCAAGACAGTGTGGTAGGACCATACTTTTTCTTTTTAAAGTTTATTTCTTCTGTAAAAAAAAGAGACAGACAATCCTCACACTGTGACCTAACCAAGTCTTAGCCACCTGCATGCTGTCCCTGTGCTCAGGGAGGTCCCAGGCACAAACTCAGGCCTTTTCCTGCGTGGGTCCACTGTACCATAATTTGCTATAGGGCTTATGTGCTCACCAGAGAGAGAGAAAGAGGGAGAGAGGGAGGAAGCAAGATGCCAGGTCTGGGACTCGAACTGTAGTAGACACGTGGGAGTCCCGAACCTTAACCACCACACCACCTGCTGGGCTTATAATGGAATCTTCAGCCTATTAATTCCCTGGCTGAGTACTGCTTTGGCTGAAGTGTCTGTCTTCCATTTAGTCACAATTTTCATTTATTTATTTTGAGAGGTTTTTGCTATAGGGCACGTGTACTCACTAGAAAGACAGAGAGGGACAGAGAGACAGAAAGTGAGAAATCGCCCCCCCGGAGGGATTGCCGTGCCACAATCCCTTCTCCTCCATTCACCTCTCGGGATCTTGGGCACGCACGCACACATACCGGATGTGAGTTTAAGCCACCGGGTAGAGGACTTGAACTGTGGTCGACTGCATGGGAGTCCTGCGACATAGCCATTACACCAACTGCTGGTCTCACAATTTTTATTTATTTATTTTTTTGAATTATTTTATTAAAAAATTTTTTAGAGGTTTTTGCCTTAGGGTGTGTGTACTCACCTGAGAGAGAGAGAGAGAGAGAAAGAGAGAAATCACCACCCCCGTTCCCCAGGAGATATGACCACACCACAATCCCTTCTCCTCCATTCTCCTTCTGGATCTTGGGCTCGCACACATGCACCCAGCATAGGTTTCAAACTACTGGGTCTGGGACTCCAACTGCAATTTGCCATGTGGGAGTCCAGCAACGTAACTGCCACACCATCTGCTGATCCTAAATTATTATTATTTTCTTTTTTTTTCTGAGAGATTTTTGCTATAGGGCATGTGTGCTTGCCAGAGAGACAGAGATAGAAAGTGAGAAATCATCCTCTAGGAGGGATGGCCAGGTCACAATCCCTTCTCCAGTCTCCTCTTGGGATTTTGGACACACACACACACACACACACACGCACGCCTAGTGTGAGTTTCATGCTGCTGGGTCTGGGACTTAAACTGCAGTCGGCCATGTGGGAGTCCAGAGCCTTAACCACTACACCACCTGCTGTCCTCCTATTTAAAATTTTATTTATTATGATTAGTATTAAAAACAATTGTTACAGGGCATGTGGACTCATCAGAGAGAGAAAGAAAGAGAACAAGAAAGTAAGAAAGCAAGCCACCAGTTTTGGACTAAAATAGCAGTTGGCCGTGTGGAAGTCCAGCGCCTTAACCACCACGCCACCTGCTGGCCCCTGCTGGTTACATTTTTTTTTTTAAAGAGGTGTTTGCCATAGGATGTATGTGCTCACTGTGGCGGAGGCAGATACATTAAGAGGAAAAGTGAGAAATCACCCCTCAGGGGGATGGCCACACCACTGTCCCTTCTAATCCAGTCTCCTCCCAGGATCTTGGGCACGCACGCACATGCGCCCAGCGTGATTTTCAAGCCACCAGGACTGCAACTGTACTCAGCCAAGTGGGAGTCCAGTGACTCTAACCACTACATCATCCACTATGTCCTCTGCTGACCCCCGCTGGTTACAGTTTTTAAGTGCCTACCACCTGCCAGACCCTGTTTGGGATTTGCCTTCCTGCTCCCAACCCTGCCTCCCCTTCATCAGGGAACTGGAACCAACACAATTGCCACATACTGTGAACACTTTTTACGTGCCGTGCCGGGCACAGGCTTCTCTTTCATTGTTACCTTTAAAGTTCGACATCCTCCAAAAAGGGCCACTTTTTCTTTTTTTCAATTGCCAGAGGGTGTGCACACTGGAGAGAGTACTCCCCAAGAGGGCGTGGTCATGCCACCATCTCTTTTCCTCTATTCAGTCAGATTCGGGGCATGTATGCACATGTGCAAGGTGTGTTTTTCAAACCTCTAGGGCCAGGATTCAAACTGTGGTCAGTCATATGGGATCCGGTTCCCTCCATATACAATGCTTAACAGCTGCATTGCAGGGTCAACAAGGGGCCGAGAGGAGGAACTTGAAGGTCACAAAGTTTTGGTCCCCAGCCCTGGCCCTAAGTCACACATTGGGGCAGTCAGGACTGGAACCCGGGTGGGCGGGACTCTAAGTCCCAGGGCTGTAACTACGGTCCTATACTATCTCAGCTAAGGCAGCACCTGGAGCTGGTTTCGGAAGGCCACTCCTTCCCACAACTTGCCCACAGGGGAAGACCTAGGAGTCTACAGATGACTGACCCTGTTTTCTCTTCCCCCAGAGAAGGCGTCCTCATTGTCATCGCTCAGCATCTCGAAGCACGCACCCCATCGCGCCTATTGGGCAGAGCAGCAGAACAGGGTTGGAGGGACACAGGGAGACTGGGAGTTCTAGTGGGGTGGGCAAGTTGGGGGCTGTGGGTGTGAAAGGGTGGTGGTGGTTTGGAGGGTTAAGGGGCAGGCAGGCTGGTTGGGAGCATCAGGCTGCAGGGAACAGATAAGGCATTTCAACCGTGGATGCCTGTGCTCTTGTTGCTTCCGCAGCTGCCGCTGCCCCTGATGGAACTCATGGAGAACGAGGTTCTGGAAATCCTCACCAAAGCCCTACGGAGTGAGCCCCCTTACCCCATTTCCACAAGAGATTCTGGTGGATATCTGCAGGGCTTGGGCCCGTAAGAGTGGGGTTTCAGAAGGGTATGCCTTGTCAGATGCCCTTACCACCAAGGACCCCACAAAAGTTAAGTGAGGGACCAGGCACACAGTGGGACAGCATGAAGTGACCATCAGAAGCCTGGGCTGTAGTCTTTGTGCAGTTCCTGTCTAGCTGATGTGGCTTTTCTGAGGCTGTTTCTCTACCTGCCCAAGGGGATGATAGCATTTGTGTGACTCTGTTGTGAGGTTTTGGACAGCGGATTATTGGGGTAAACGTCTCCAGTTTATGATAGGAACGTCCAGCGGGAGAAAGGGTCAGTGATGGCTTAGAGTGGGTGGTCCGGTCTCTGAGTTGAGGACTGCAACATCTTTTCCAGCTTTGCTCTCACCCATCCACCACGTTAACACCCAGCATTCTGGAGATCCAAAGTTCCCCAAACTAACACTAGCGCCGAGCTCTATTGCCACCCCAAATCACCTGCAGTTGGTTACTGGCATCACATGAGCGGTGCCCCGCCGCTAGGGGAGGTCTTGCCGGTGGTCACTGTCCTGAGCTGAGTTCTCCCCTCTTCTTAGGCTACCGGTCAGACATCGGCAGGAACCATTTCCTCACCAAAGAGCTGCAGCGATACATCGAGGTACTCAAGAAGCGCCGGAACAAGAGGCTGCACGTCTCAGCGAACTAAGAGCACCGTCTTGGGTTCACCGACTCCAGCCCCCAGTCCCCAGACCCAAGTCCAACCCAGTCCTCGTGGAATTTGGGTCCTAGAGAAATAAAAGAGACTGTGTATGGTCTGTGAGTCACTGCGTGGTTGCCGGCGTGAGGCGGACGCACGTGGCCCCGCCCTCCCTTGTGACCTTCATTCGGTCACCGCAGTGACCTTGAGGTTTCTCCGTTCCGGCCCTATGGACCCTGCCTTCCAGGGACTCGCATGCAGGGCTTCTGGCATGTTTTGGGTCTGCTTCTCCCGGCCCAGGTTCCCCAGCTTTGCAGAGATACTGTGTCGGATCGAGGGTCAGGTTGGAATTACCTTGGAGGAAGGGAAAAGGGTGAGAGAGGGGTAGTACCTCCCGGCTGGCAAGGGTGTGCTAGGCTCCGCCCCTCAAGTGTATGCAGATATTCTATCCTCTCCACTCGCCCCACCCTCTCATTTTCATATGTCTCTCTGCCCCGCAGCTTCGGCCATTGAGCGACCTCGCCCACTTCTTTCGCGCACAGCGCGCCCCGCCTCCTCCGTTACGAAGGCGAGCTCTTGGCCCCACCCCCTCCCGGCTCTAATTCCCGGAGCATCCTCCTCTTTGGCCTCCACCCCTCGGCGGCCGCATGCGCATGTGCCGCTGTGTCTCCGCGGCGGCGGGGCGGGACCTTCGTGAAGACCAGCCCATTGGCTTTGCCGGCTCCGCCCCGACCTGTCCAGGCACGCAGGCGCTG